ACGCTGAGGATAAGCTAGATTATTTTGACCCGCGTTTTCAAAATAATTTTCCTCAAGAATATTTTGGACATTCGATGAATCAATACAATGTCAATTAGAAAATCAAAGCAATCAACACTTGGACGTATCCCAAAATTTTTCCGAAACCAGCCAAGAAGAAACCCCAAGTTAATTGAAATAAACGTATCTTCGTATAACCCCCTTCCTTACTTGCAAATTAACTCTTTAAATATTAAATTATTAATAGACACTGGTAGTAATAGATCAGTATTAAGACCTAATAGGGCTGAACAGTATTTTTCAAATTGTATTTATAATGCACAAAATACTATAAAAACAGCCGTAGGCAGCCAAAACACTCAATTTGAAGCTACTATAGCTTTACTTACAGAGTTTGGTATCGATTACGAAATCGATTTTATCCTTTTCGATTTTCACGACTTTTTCGATGGCGTTATTGGATTAACTGATTTGATGAAAATGAATTTAAATATTGACTTAAATAACAAAATACTTTCGAATAAAACAATTCAAATCCTTTTAAGTTCCGCGAACCCGCAGATTCAAAATTTTCATTTTCGATAAACTCTCATGAGAAAATTATTAAGAATTTGCCAGTTAGCGTTTTTGAAGGCGATATTTTAGTAAAACCTACTGAAATAAATAACTTGTTTATTCCTAGAACCCTATCCCACGCGAGAAACGGATTCGCACCCGTTGAAATATAAAACCACACCGATAAAACCATTAACACGACCTTGTTGCAACCAATTCTCGTAGAATCGTTTATACAGGAAGCGTTCGAAATATATTCTTTCGAAACCATAAAAAAATTCAATAAAAATAAATATTTTCAAAATTCTCCCTCAAAAATCAATATAACCAAATTAATACGGGTATCCCACATGAACTCAGAAGAGCAGCAATCAATCACTAAATTATGCGACGAATTTAAAGACGTTTTTTATAAACCAGGCGACGCGCTAACATTTACATCCAAAATTCGACACGAGATAAAAACTACTGACGAAGTTCCGGTACACACAAAGTCATATGCCCATAAAGAGGAAGTAAGGAAACAAATAAATGAAATGTTAGGGAAAGGTATAATCCGTCCTTCAACGAGCCCTTGGAGCTCTCCCGTTTGGATCGTTCCAAAAAAAATCGATGCCTCAAACGTACAAAAGTGGCGCGTAGTAATAGATTATCGTAAATTAAACCTTAAAACAATCAACCATCGATACCCCATTCCAAACATTTCTGATATACTAGATAAGTTAGCCTTTCTTCCTATTATCGTAAATTTATACAAAATTTTGCGATGATCACCAAACCATTAACTCAATGTCTAAAGAAAAACCAGAAGAATTTGTGGATTGTTTCCAACATTGTAAAAATATACTAACATCAGAACCAGTACTTGCGTACCCCGATTTCACCAACCTTTCGAATTAACAACTGGTGCATCAAATTATGCTATAGGAGCAATATTATCGCAAAATGGTCACCCAATTAGTTATGCATCCAGAACGTTAAACCCCGCGGAAATAAACTATTCGACCATCGAGAAGGAACTGCTAGCAATTGTATTTGGTTGTAAATACTTTAGACCATATTTGTTTGGACAAAAGTTCTCTGTCCTCACGGACCATAAACCTTTAATCTGGCTTTCAAGTTTAAAAGAACCAAATAGTCGCTTAATTCGCTGGCGCCTCAAACTCGAAGAGTTTGATTGTATTTTAAAATATCAAAAAGGAAAGAAAAACCAAGCCGCAGACGCACTTTCGCGAAACCCCGTAGATACTAGCGAAAACATTGACCTTAACGCCTTGGAAACTTTATCTACGGACGAAACTATAGAGAAATTCTTGGAAAATGCCGAAGAATTACCTGAATTAAATCCGGACGAATTAGTATCAATTCTAGGCAACAATTCCCAAAAGGAAATAAACATTTTGTCAGACATTATTCTGCGACCCGCTCAATATTCACAAAATCAACCGCCATTACTAGATACTAGCGATTTAGAAATGGTACATACATCTCACGAAAATCCAATGTTTAACATTCCCTTTACAGAAAGAATATTGAATATTTATAAAAATCAAATAATCCAATGCCAATTTTTAAATATTTTCAATAACACTAGAATTTTAATAGTATTTCCAAAGCTTGATCCTATCCCACATATAATTAAATTCTTAAAGGAATTTATAGACTCCAAAAATCTTTACGCACTTTATTTTAGAACCGAAAAACTAGCTCAAACCTTTACACTACAAACACTACAAAAAATATTTCTAAATTCTTCCTACAGGTTTGTTCAATGTTCAAAATTCTTAGAGGATATTGAATCCCAGGACGAACAACAGGAGAAATTAAAAATTTAACACACCACAAAAACTTGCAATAGGGGCATCTCTGAAATGAAAATAACATTGACCACTAGATTCTATTGGCCTAAAATGACCGACGATATCGAGCGATTTGTAAATATTTGTGATACTTGTCAGAAAAACAAATACGACAGAAATCCCACTGTCATTAAATTTAGTCTAACACCTATAACATCTAAACCATTCGAACAAATTCATATTGACTTTTTTAAAATCGACAACCAAATATTTTTAACCATTCTTGACGCCTTTTCTAGATACGGTCAATCGTATTCTCTTAAAAGCTTAAAAGTCTGACAGGAACAGCTGTCATTGATTGCCTCCTAATTTCACGTCAGACCGTGGAACGGAGTTTAAAAATAAAGACATAGAAGACTTTTGCAAATTGTATAAAATTGATTTGCATTATACCACTTCAAAGAACAGTAACTCTAACTCCCCCGTGGAACGTTTTCATTCTTCTATAAACAATACAACCCGGAACAAATCGTGAAACGCGCAAAAAACAAAAGAAAAAATAATTGATAAAAGAAACAAAGAACGCGAGGACCCCCTGAATTTCGATATTGACGAACCGGTCTACGTTCGTACTAAGTTACGTAATAAAGCTTTACCTAAATTTAAGAAAACTACTCTAAAAAATCAAACAACCTATAAAATTAAAACCAATTCGGGAACGTATCATAAAAATTCTGCCATTCGACCAAAATCTAAACAAAAATTAAATTCGCAGGAAAATGAACCTCCCGAGGATCCTAGTGGCATCGGCGTTAGCAACCCTAGCCCTTCGACGAGTAAATAGAGATGTCAAACTAGTTCCCTTGAAAACTTTAAACTCTCAAATATCTTTATCGAAACGGCTGATTGATAATTATAACTTAACGATTTCGACTCTATTTCGTAATCAAAACCAACTAGAGAAAGCAATATATTAAAAGGATCTGTTGATAACACGATCAATAATCTTCAGTTATATATTACCTTTCAAAGTGTTTTATCCCAAATTATACTTGACTGTCAAAACCTGATAAATTTTCTGGATAATTTAGAGAACGCAATTGTGTTTGCACACACTAATGCTTTACAAAATTCAATAGTTTCTGTTTTGGAAATTCATAAAATGATCGATTATTTAAAATCAATTTATGATATAAACGAATTACCAAAATTTAATACCACGTTATCTTATTACCAATTTTTAGGGACTCAAGTAACATTTAGAGATTGTAAAATATTTTTTGCTATTCACTTTCCTATTTTAAGGCTTAAATATTTTTCTTTCCATCACCTGTTTTCTGTTATCCAAAATAACACGATAATTATTCCAAAATACCCCTATGTCGCACGAGAAAAAGAAGATATGCATTTCAAAGAGTCCTGCTCTCCCGAAATCGAGCATACTTTCTCCTGCCACGAAAACTACAACTCGAAGGATGAATGCACGATTCAATTGCTTGAAAATCAGCCTATAAGCAACTGTCGAAAACACCATATTGAAGTAATACAACCTCTTGCAGAGCAAGTAACGCAAGAAAAGGTGCTTGTCTTACCTGTTAAAAATACATTGGTATTTGCTAAGTGTAAAATTGATCGATACCTTAAGATCGATATTCCAACACTTATAAAAATTCCAGCTGCAAGAAAAATTATTACAACAATGCCAAAATTATGAAAGGAAAGCCTTTGCTTTTACCTGAAGTCTATATAGAAGAATTTAAACCAATTACGTCACACAGATTAGCGAACATCAGTCAAATTAACTTGCAAAACCGATATCAATTAAAACAGATAACAAATGAACTACAACCGATTGGAGAATTTGGCCAGCCTATGTCTACAAGTTTAATAACTAATATTATTGTTATTATATTTTTTCTAGCGGTCATTGCAGCCCTAATGATCGTTTTTAGAAAGAAACTTCTACCAATCCAATCAGCCGGAGCAAAAAGTCACCTCGTCTTTGCTTGAACATAATTCAGTCTTATAATCAAAATGTTTGCGGTAATTTTTTGAACAGTTTTTTTTTAGACTGAAACTTACATAATCGTTTGTGAGCGAGATATTACTTAAATATTTATACAACCTTTGTATTGCGGAAAAAATACATTCAAGCAATAAAAAGAGAAAATTCTGTTTCAACAAAAAACACAAAGGTCTGTTTAGGTGTTAGAATCTGAGTACTACAATAGCAAGTTGGAAATTTTTTATTATTCACTTTAAAGCTTCATTTTCAATCCCATGGAATTGACAGAGTTACAACCTGCAATGTTGAATCAAGAGGGAAAGTAATAACAGCCAATTTGAAAACATCTCGCCTGAATTAAAGTGGTTTTTATTCAATAATTCTTTTACTCAGTGCTAATAATATAATCTCTAATGTACCCTCCGTTTGAGTAACCTTATATTAAAACTGACTTGTAATATTCTGCTAAAGAATAATATTAGAAAATATCATTAAATTATCTATGCAAACAATACCACATTAAAAAAGTTCTGGTATATCAATATACATAATGTAAACATTAAAATAATATAAAATAAAGCAATCAAGACGTTTGTGGTAGAACTGCATAGGCGATAAATAAAACGATACTTCATTCGAAAACATTTATTAATAGATCTTTTGGTTTCCAAAAAGAGCCCTGTCGATTATCACATGTCAAGATACTACGAAAAAACGTTACAGTAGAAAAATGTTACATTTATCACAGGAATTTTAAGTTGCTTTTAGATGCCATCCAAAACGCTAGTTACAAAAATACTGAGGTCGCCGCGCCTACACCCTAACTTATTACCTAAATCGCGACGAACGCAAAAACGGAATGAAAAAAAGAAAATATAAAAAGAATTAAAAATCCACGCTACTCGAGGAACGAACAAATTTTGTCTGGTCAGTCTTCTGAAAACGTAAATTTAAATGCTGCCCGTCAGTCTTAAACGTTTTGAAATAGGGATGATGACGCTAATTATAATGTCTCCTCAATTTATGTTGATATATAATGCTAACAAAATTAATTACAATAAATTCAATAAATTAATTTGAAGCGCTATAAACGACATCCTTCGCGTGACTACGAACATGTCACGTGATGAATTCGACTGTTTCAGCGAAAAAAAAATCGGCACGAAGTACAAGGGAAAACGGCCTTCACTTCATTTCAAGCAAAACTACATAAATGACAGATGATTGTCTGTTACAAAAAGTATATTAAATATTCGATAACCTGTTGTTCCTTTATATACGAGGTGCAATCAAAAAAGTATACGTTAACGCCAAAAGTTGTGACAATTTTACTTTTACTAGAAGGTGCATTAAAAAACACAAGATTAAAAAAAATAAGTTAGTATGTTTGTATTTTAAATTAAGTTGAAATATTAATAATAACAAATAATATAAAAATACTATGGTCAACGATAGTGGTCACAGATAGAATAAACTAACTTAAAAATGCCTACCTTAAAAATTGCAAACGAAATAGAAACATCTAATATTTCTTAATGTTTTTTTCTTCGACACTTTAATAGTACCCAACAAAACTTCAAAAACATTATACTTTTTTGACTGCACCTCGTACATATGGCAAAACTCTCACGATAACAAGAGTCGGTTATTAAACAATATTGATAAAGAGTTTTAGTTAGTTTTTTTTCACGCTTTCAATTCTAAAAAAATTTATTAAAATTGGTCTGTTGACCACATTAATTAAACATAAACTTTTGTTGTAGAAAATAGAGTGTATAGAGTGTGCTTTTGCTATTATTGGAGAGAATGTAGTTAATGTAGTAATATAGATGTAGGGATGAAATTGTCTTTTAAACGGATTTAGATCTGTTAGAGCGTATTACATTAAGGAACTGATGAGTTTATGTGGTCGACGTTTCGGCAATTTTATTGCTTCCTTTGGAATCATTAAAAATGATTTGCCGTGTTAATATAATATATGTTACCGCAAATATCGCACTGTTAGTGATTTTGCTGAATAACTGATCACATTAGGAATTATGCATAGATATTATTCATAATATCTGGGGATATTGTGTAAATATTGATAATACCTAAAAATGTAACAGGAATTATGCGTTATACTTAAAACATTTAGTCATTTTGCATATTACCTCGTTAGGAGGTAATTTCAATTTCTCTGTAGCGTGAATGCTGAGCACCTGTGAAATATAGGTTGGGTTAGTTCGTCATAAAGACCGCGGTAGCTACTGCTACTGATACAAATTTATTGAATAAATTTAAAAGGGAAGGACCAAACTCACGACTAAATGTTTTGCTCAACGAAGAATATAGTCTCTTATCCCGTAGCCGAGGTAAAGCAATCTGTTAAAAAGACGTGTTTCACCAATTAAATTAATTTATTCTCATAAGATTAAATTCCAAGATAGGCCCTAAAAACTCGTTACAATATCGTAAAGTAAATAGGCTTGTAATAGTAGAAGCAACAGTAACAATACAAGATGTGTGATATGTAGTCCCTGTCCGTAGAAGTATAGGCCATGGAGAGGGAAAAATCGAATGAAAGCCGAAGTATCAAAACAGTACTCTAACATTACACAAGAAATTATTTCGGTCTACTTGTTACTTTGCGAACTTTTTTTTAAAGCGGTCTAAAACACGGAAAGGCCTTACTGTAAAACCTATAGTGCACTATAGGGCAAATTAAATTCATACTTGTTTATCGAAACCACCTCACCAAATTTGTTATTCTACATGCTTTAACGTCAAAGACAGCTTTGGAAGAAAGCAAACATGTTACAACGGAAGGGAGTTCGTAAATCAAATAGTCCAAAGTTTAACGGCAGAACAGGAAAATCTTACGCTGGGAAATGGAAAGCCACGTCACAGACGCCAAGGAGGTGTTAGCATTGTACCCCAAAAACACCTATTTTGGGTATTAGAAGTAAAGCGTCTGAAAATTTCAAGCAACAAGGCTCAATGCTCAAGACTAAATATTCACCACGTTTAGTAGGCACTAATCTTACACACTTAGAACTTACAGACTTGGAACAAAGGACGGAATATTACAGCAATTCTTCTTCTTCTTGCACATTAACATATAACAACTTCCATTAGGAAATTCTACAGAAACCGTATTTGTCGTTGTAAAAAGAATAACAGATAACTAAATATTTTTGCAATATGTAGTAGTCAAGTGCCACAAAAGCTGTTCTCATTTAAATAGATTGCAGAATAAGTACCTACCTATCTTTCTTGTGTTCTCTACCCCCTATGATTCGAAAGTATGTATAATGACTATGATTCATAATATCTGACAATTTTAGTATTTATGCGTAATTCCTAATGTTTAGTTATTATGCAAAATCACTAAAAGTTTCGCATATTAGCGATAACATATATACAATTACTTGGTTCGCTCGCCACGCAAAAGACAAGGAACATTTTTAATTTACCATTAAAATAGTAAATTAGTGGTAGCAAACTGCTAAAATAGTAAATTGAAGAAGGCTATTTTAAATTTCCTAGTCCAACTACTACTACTACTAATAATAATAAAAAAGACAACGAACATTCTTAACTTTTTGTTAGACCAGGAAATTACTAATGGAATATAGAAATTCACTATTAGAATAGTAAATGCTATTACAATAATAAATTAGGAGTAGTAAACTTTTAAAACAGCAAATTAAAAATGGTCCTTGCCTTTTGCCGTTTCAAATTAATCATCTTTAATTTGATATTATATTTCTCGCATCCCGTAGACCAGATAGGGGGAAAATATCGGCGACAATGTAATATATTGATATATTAAGAATTTTTAGGGGTCGAATAACATTATTTCCCCTTTCCGTTCCTTACATACTTTGGCTTGGGATTGTTTTTTCCGTACATAATGGGATCTGCCATTTATACATCCAACCTGCAGGATAACGCCAATTATTAGACATGTAACGCAATTTTGCTACGATTTTTATTTTTGTTTGGACCATGAGAGGAATTAGCCAAGTCAAGGCAAGCACTGGGAAAATAGCGTACTACGTAGTATACTATATATCATCTACATATAGAATAGTAAATAAAAAATGTTCGCCGCTTTTTGCATATTCCTAATTTAGTTTACAACTATTAATTTACTATTCCTGTAGTAACTTACTATTAGAATAGTAAATTAGTAGAGTAAGTTTTCTAAATATGGACTAGACGAATAATATGGACCACCCTGATTTTTGTTTCAATGCCAGCAGCGCACTTAACTAAATCTGGTCTCACCTAATGCTATAATATACCTGCATGACGTCAGTAGTTCTTAAGCAGGATGTGGGGATGCCATTTCAATCGCAAAAAATGGAAAATGCTATTCTTGCTGTTAGAGAGAATAAAATCTGCCAGATCCTTTAGCATTCCAAAAACGACACTCATTTGTTTATCTAAAAACAGAGATTTACCTCTAGGGCGACTTGAAATACAAAGCTAGGACAAAGAGCCATTTCTATAGGGTTTGGTTTGAGCAGATGCTTATCAAGTGGCAGTACGTAACAATTTAAGTAACCCGTTCTCCAGACGAAGGAATTCTGCAGGAAAAACATGGTTGAAGCTGTTTCTGACCCGTCATCCAACTTATTCTTTTGCCGTCCAATAGGAACCTCGATTGCACGATTAAAAGGTTGTAACGAGGAAAGCGTGATGATTTTCGTAAATTTATTAGAGAAAGAAATGGACGATTTTAAATATCCTGCCTAGAATATTTACAACGTTGATGAAATCGGGATATCGGTTTTACCCAATAAGATGCCACAAATGTTATCTCTAAAGAGAAAAAAGCAAATAACGGAACGAGGTTCAACAATAACGTGCATAATTTGTATGAATGCAGCTGGATCGTTTGTTCCCCAATGATGATATTTCCTGCGCCAGCTCGATAAATATGCGATTGTCATCCGTCATGCTGGATACAGATTCACTAAATGGTATAAACAAGTTTTGGAAATTGAAAAACGTTGCGCTACTTCTCCCGTACTTCTGATATTAGATGGGCACACGAGTCATACAGAAATGTCGAAGTAATTGATTTGGCACGAAAAAATAATGTTTGTTTAGTGTCAATACCGCTGTACTCTAACCATAAAATCCGGCCTTTGTGTAGTGTGTAGAAGTGGCTATCAATGGCCTCGGAACAACAGAGATTTATTCGCTGATCCACATGATTTTATTGAAACAACTCTAAACGATAAAAGCCAGATAACGATCATTCTACACAAGATAACGGAAATGCCACAGTAGTACCAACTTAAAATCAGATAAATCGGGAAGATCAATCATTCATTTCAAATCTACTTCCAGGTCCTTCAACATGGAAAGAAAACTTAGCAACGCACAAATAAAGAGTAAAAGTAATTTCGGAGATAAAGTCACCTAAGGAGAGAAAACAACCAACTGGCAAAAAAAACGTAAAGAAAAGACCAATTTGTAAATCAGGAAAATTGTCAAATCCTGTAGTGATTTTTCAGTCAAAGGTAGCTCAACAGCCCAAGAAAATGCAGCATGTTTATAATGAGATGGCTCGTTTTCGGAGGATGCTTGTGATGAATTATGGGTTCAATGCGTTTCTTCCGATGGGCGCATAAAGAGCAATCTTAATGCGTCCATCGGAAGAAATGGAGTAAAAAATACATTTTTATATGCGAGTTTTGTAGTAGCCGTTAATGTTATAGGCCAAACCTAAATTTTGATTTAATTCATTACTGTAATTACACTAGTTTTTACAGAAGCAGAATGTTTTATACACTTATACATTGTGGGATGTGTACTTGACTGATCAGAATAAAAAACTCTAGGACATTTTTTCTTTACTTTTATTTTAAAAAATCCCTACAGCAGTCCATATTTAGAGAACCTACTCTAGGAGTAAACTATTAAAATAGTTATTTGCCTGACGTGCGATTAAGTAATGGTCCACTATTTTATTGCATGTATCTACACGGAAAATCATCATCCTTGGTTCCCAAGTAGACGATAGAGTGGCTGAATCGTCGGCCACATAAGAATTTGATTTTCCTTAAACCCTCCAATTTCTTAATATCAAAAGAAAGTCTGTTTCATTTTTGATTTTTACCTATCACACTAAATTTTCATTCCATTTGGGCGAAGTTCATTTTCCCTCGTAATTTCATTTATTCCGTAACATCCCCAATATCCTCGACCCAAATTATCTTCAACCCTCGTCACCTAGTAACGTCTCTGTCAGTCGCTCCTGTCGTAGACGCTATTGGACAGTGCGATGACGCACGCGCCTGCTCTACCAGTCTTGAGCGGGTTCAGTACCGCCCACTCGTTGGTGATCGGGTCGTAGGCTTCCACGTTGGTGAGGTACGTGTTACCGTCGTACCCGCCCACCGCGTAGAGCTTGTCGCCGAAGAGGGTACATGCCACTGCGTCCCGTTTCCCGGACAACGTACTCACCGTAGTCCACGTGTCGGTCGTCGGATCGTAACGGTCGACGCAGTCGAACCTGGAGGCGGTGGGGTTGTTGGCGGCCGCGTCCTGCCCCCCCATCACGTACAGCTGCCCGTTGGCGGTACCGACGCCGACGCAACCCTTTCGCGTGGGCAAAGGGGCGGCGAGCGTCCACTTGTTGGTGTGCGGGTCGTAGCATTCGACCGTCCGGAGGCAGCTGGTGCCGTCGCGGCCGCCGACCGCGTACAGTTTGCCGTTGAGGACGGCCACGCCCGCCGAGCAACGCTGGTTCTGCATCGGGGCGACGTACTGCCACGAGCGGGTAGCCGGGTCCCACCTGCCGGGACGTCGAAATTCGAATTTTAATTTTACCCGCGAGAGCCGACCCGAAGGTTCGACACCGGACGCGACGACGCGCCGCACACAGGTCGCTTATGGTAATTTAGGGGGTAATGAACACATTGTGAACTGTTGACTTGTTTTTTTTTTTTAGAAACTACTGATCATATAAAAAAATATATACTGTTTGAAAGACAATTTAACATGCCGTACTACGAGTTTAAATTGATTAAAATTTGTTTCTGCTTTTTAGGTTTAGCAGCAATAAGTTCTGGGATCGAGGTTGGGGTACGAAGTCCAGATCAAATTCTTGCATACTGGCCACTCCATAATTCGAAAACCGGCTTCTGTACTGTAATCTTGCACGATCCTTGTGGTGTGCGGTCTAGCATTGTTATGCATAAAAATGAATTCTTCTGCAATGTAGTCGACATATGGTACTACGTGATCTGATAAAATATCTCGATGTACCTAGCACTTGTTAAACTTCCTACCCCTTAACCACTGCCGCCCATACGGACGAAAACAGTGTCGGTTCGTGCGTCCAAAGAAATTGCACCCCATATCATGCAGGAAACACCTCCATAAAGGCTCCGCTCTTCAATGCAGCCTTCTGCCAATCGCTTTCCTGGTCTTCGGTACACTTGTTTTCGTCGGTCACTACCAAAAAGGCATATTCTGGTCTCATCTGAGAACAGAACATTGCTCCATGTCCAACTCAGATGATCCCGTGCAAAGCGTAGGGCGTGCTTGTCGATGAGCTGGAGTAAGTTTTGGACTAACTGCAGTTGTTTTTGGGGTCAAGTTATTTTCCTTCAGTCTTCTTCTCACTGTCCACTGACTAATAGCCACTCTTCATGGAGCTGTTGTTGCACTTCAGCTGCATTAACGTGACGATTACTTATTATTGTTGACACAATAAAGCGGTCATCACGAGACGTAATTCGTCTTCTGCTTGTTCCTCATATTGTGGGCGGCTTTTTGCGGTGTAGTATCCAAAGCTATCCAAATTTAGTTTATAATAACAACGTTTCATTTGTTTAACCGCAGCTACGGCTTATTAAATTGTCTTCTAGAAAAAAAATATACTAAAGTCAGGGAGGGAGGGGGGTAGGTAGAGAGATAAAGAGAGAGTTCTTAAATCATAATAATAATGTTATCCATTTTATTTTAACTGGTATTTGATAAATAGGGTGTTTTATTTCCGTTTAAGTTCAAAATAAAATAGGATATTTTTAATGTGCCGGGTGAATAATTAAGGGGTAAAAAAGATTCGATAGTACTCAGTTATTTCTTTTCCTTATATTGGAGATTAGAAAAGAGTGTGTTGGACCCATGTTTGTCTAGGTCCTGTCCTGTAATAAAGTATCGTTGGCTTCATTTCTTTTTTTTAGAAAAAAAAATTATATACCGGGTGACAACTTTCCATAACCAGTTAGAAAAAGTTGTTTAGAGTTGTTTAGCCATCCAAAAAATTCAAAACATACAGGATATCCCATTTAAAATAACAAAGTTGAGGTTATTTCCGGTGAAAATTGTTTTTACGCTACAAATGTTCACAATATTCAATCATAGCAAAACGCCCTCTAGTGGCGACACAGGTAATTGAATTGAGAAGAGTCCCTTTAAGCGACTCCAAGTATGACAAAATGTGAAGTTATTGATATTTATTTCCTACAGTCCCTACCATTTTTCTTCACGTAGAGCAATAATTTATCACAACTTAAAAACTATGTAAATTTTAGTAATCTATAATGAAAGATTATTTCTAAAGAAATATCGTTTTACAGAGCTTGGCGAATTCTTAATTAGCGAAAATGTAACAGAAAAAAATCTTTGCGTGACTACTACTTTAAATATTACAATTTGGAGTTTTTACAAATTAATGCAAATTTTGAAAATGATAAAAAGTTGATGAATTTGCTTTTAATTGTTTTTATGTATGTGCATATTTTTTATATAACTTTATGGCAAATATTAAAACCTCGACCTTGCTCTCACGACATAAAAACAGACGTTCAAAACATTATGTGTTGGCATGTGTGCAGTACTATAATTTGCGTTTCAAAGTAGTTTATTTTTTTATAAATTTGTTTTACAAATTATAAAAGCTTCCAATTAAAAAGCATCAGGAAAGCTTTGTATCACCATAAAATAAACCGTTTTCAAGAAAATCGTATTTTTTACCTAACATTTTCGTCCAGCCCGTATAAATCACAGTGAAATAATAATTAAATTAAAAATATAATATAACACGATTCTAGTTGTTTCAAAAGCTTAGCGATATAGACATGGTGTTATTGGAATAATGGAATCCTTGAATCTATTAATCAAGAGACGAATGGCAAAAATATCCGTTACGCTATAGTGTTCGAGAAAAATAGCGCCAAAGGTGTTAAAATATGAAAGGTAAAATGTGAACCAACACAGAACAACGTTTGTTGAAGATAATTTAACATCATTAAGCTAGATCGAAGCTTCCTGAGTAAGGTATTGCTCTGCCTACCTACTACCTAGCGTGCCTAGTTACTTTCCAAAAACCGATGAAATCGATTTTTTCGGATGTGTTCGCGCTTGACAACGAAACTCATATCTCGTAAACAGTGCGTCGCAACAGCGTCGCCATTGGTACAGATGGAATCCGCGTCGAAAAAAAAGTTTTTATTTTTTGTCTGTTTATCCGTTCTCTATTCTCTGTCGATGCTCCATAAAAATGTGAATAACTTCCGAATCGTATGAGCTATAATCCCGAAAATTAGCTAATTTTAAACAGCCCACTATGAGAAATGGCCGCGATCAGATATTGGCGTCCTTCTTTTTTCTTTGCGATTTTCGTCTGTTTTTTGTACATCGCTATGAAAAACGATGTGTCCGAAATTTGCAGCTATCAATTTCAAAATTTGGCACAAATATCAAGTTTAGTTCCGTAACAGAACCTATTTCCAGGGTATCGAAAAAAAAATCATTTCTCCAAAACGGTATATACGATCGAAAAAATTCTTGATCCCAAGGACCGATCCAAAAACCTTCATTTTTTATGATTTTTTGAAAATGTACAGGGTGCGTCGGCAAATTGCAAAAAAACTGGAAATTGGGTTAACATTATAACGATAATTGATCATTACTAGAAAATTGTGTTTCAGTTGCCAGTTTCTTTCACACCATACAGTCCGTATGGGCTGCTAAAACTTTATATTTCAGGTTTTCACATATTGTACAGGGTGTTCGGGATATTCTGTACCACATTCAAAAATTTAATTTGTAACTATCGACTTGAAATTTAGCAGAGAAGTGAAAGTCCACACCCACATCTAAACTGCCGAAAGTGGGAGCAATCAAGACTTGCGAAGTATATATTTTTTAAATTTTGAAAATTTTGTTTTTATTTTACCTTCCAGAAAAAAAAATTCTGGAAAACTATTAACTTGATCGACAAAATTATTTTACCAGGAGACGCGGAAGATACGGTACTATGTATTTCAAGCATTTTTTGATTATGTACACACATGCGTCTCAAGATATTTGAAAAAGTCCATGTGACACTCGCTACACCTCGCACTCGCACTCAATCTATATGCCATGACGTCATTTACTAGTACGGGCTACTGCATCGTTTCAGAAAACAAGTATTTTCTGGAAAACCATTTGCTCTATTGAAAAAATTAATATAAAGGGAAACGCTAGGGATAGGGCTATAACTTTTATTTTGGGCATTTTTTGGATTATGTACAGGGTGTGCTGACTATGGGCAAAAAAAAACAAAAAGATCCTGAAAACTGCATTTTTCCTGAGTAAATTATTAGCCATAAATGAGAAATTGTAAAACATGGGGTAGTTTGGTTAAACGGTATCGTAAATGATGTCGAGAGAGAGTTTCAGATTTCGTCTGTCATATATGGTGCGCGAGATATTTGAAAAAACATTATTTTAAATCGCTATTACTGGTACAAATTTTAATATTTACCAAAGTATGCTGTAACTTTTAAGTTCGTCGAGACGTGGAAGGCATTTTATACAGGGTGTCTCCACAATAAAATTACATCGCTTTTGCGAAAGTTCTATAGTAGTCCGCGGGAGCACGGTAGAAATAACAACGCGTCCCTCTAGGACAAGAAGCCCCGAAGCGACTTCTTTAAAATACAAAGCTGCTTCTTGCTACGCGCTACGAACGTGCCCCGCCCGGCTACGATTTTTCAAAAGCAATCTTGTTCTTTAGGTCCGTGATATTTTTTTTTATGAAGAGGGACAGAATTGAGGCTACCTTATGCTTCAATACACGCTTGACAAAGACGACTGGTTTTGTGACGGAGAAAATATTCGTGGAGTAGTCTGGTATACGGACGGGTCCAAAACAGACACTGCAACAGGGGCTGGTTTATATGGCAGCTCTCCTAGGGCACATGTAGGTACGACGTCATTGTAATAAATTAAAATTTTTGATTTTATACGATTTTTACAAATTTGCACACCTTTCCGTCCCTCCCTGCAAATCGTTACGATTGGACCTGACCGTTTGACGAATTTCTCTAACGATAATTCAGCGCAATCACCTATTTTCTAATGATAGTGATTTTTGATTATATTCACACATACCCACCGAAATATTAATTGAACCATTTCATTCATTTAAAATATTTTTGCTTTATACACTTTACAATTCACACCTCTTCTGGCGAAATCGCTAAAGTTAGGAAATAAGTTCTAAAACTACCTGAAGAATATTCTGGTTTCTCAGTTCCGATGCTTGGATAAATCACGCATATAGTTAATTATGAACAATTGATGCTAGTTTTCTGTTTTATCTGAACGGTTTTGCATAAACTGACTGAAATTGATTAAAATGAATTGGTTTGATCAATATTCTACCCACATCCTCAAAAATTCCTTTAGCTCCGCCCATCTCAAACAATATATAAGCATGTACAGAGTAAGGCAGTTTCCGTTGAGCTCTAAAGAAACCAGCAGGATGATTAGCGAAACGTCAGCAAATTTGATTTATGAGGAATCCAGAATATTTGTAAATAGTAAGTTCTTATTAACGCCACGCGTTCAAATAGCGACGAAATGAAATCCGAAGTGCTTCAAGGGGACA